GAGTTTCGAATGAATCGACACGTATCAAATGATTCGCTGTTGAAGCCCTCGGACCGCCCCCGGTGACACGACGGAATGCCGCAGGCTTCTGAATGAATTTCTCGCTGCTCGCCATCTGCTCGTTACGATTTCAAATGCGCTTCGGTGATATATCACATGGGTACGAGCCGCGTTTTGTAATTACCGAGAGGCTGCTTCCCAGCGATAGCTTGCTCCCGGCCAAACGGTAGACAGGCAAACTCTGCCAGACACGTCAGAGAGCGACAGGGAAGCGCACGATGCGGTCGCCTGTCGACCGAGCATAAGGCTCGCGACCGCTGGTTCGTTTCATAGCTCAGGAACAATTTTACGCCCGTTTTCAGGATTTCGAATAAAGTATGAACTCTGAATAGCTGGACGGTGAGCAGCTGCGGACGAGCTCTCTGAAAAACGAAGTAAACGAAGACGCGGAAGGAAAAAGAAGATGAAAGAACTGAAAGAAACTATCCTGTCCACCAGCTCCCCAACGTCCCGCTGCCCCACACGTGAGCCAGGCAGGCGGTCGCGGTCCGACTTTTCAACGGGGTCCGCCCTGAATAGCTCGCGAGCTCCGTCGGAACGTTCGCTCGAAGTGAGAGGCTGTAGGAGACCCAAGGAGAGAGGAGGAGGAAGAATCGCTTGTTCGTAAAATTCGTCGTCCCTGGTCGCATAGTGATTATGAACATCGTGAGGGTGCGGCAGCAGAGTCGCTGTCCTTGGGCGGTAGTTCGGAGGAGCAACGCTCGTAGACACTTGGAGAAAAACGACGATGACGGCAGGAATCTCCATCAAAGGTTCAGCACTTCAAACGCAACTCCAGTAATTGAGTTGGACGCCATGTCGGCCGTCTTACAAATTCTCTGACATAAACGAACTCAAGTCGAACTTCCACCCGCGGACGCGTCCGTCCGTCCGACCGACCGACAAGCCGACGAACCCATCACCGCCGAAAGCAGTCGCTCACTCTTGCGTGCTCTCGTGATTAATGTTGACTTAAGTTGCTGTTTATCTTCCTGCCGTTGCGGCAGCTGTAGTCGTCCAAATGAGCCGCGCAGCCGTCTAGCCGGCTGCTTCGAAGCTTCGAGGGCCAAAGCTCTGAGAACGCCGATGCGCCGATGGACGAGACCGAACTCGAGTTTCCCTAGAAAAAATTGTCATACCGCTCTGGGGATTCTTCATCGCTGATACACGACAGAAGGGGCCAGCGAAAACGCAAATTATCGTGCGTTTCCTCGCTCATCTCATCGTCATTTCCTTCGTTAATCGTCACCAGATCAGCAGACCCGATAGAAAGACCGATCCAGAGGGATCAGGTATCTCATGAAAGATGAAGCTCAGTTCTAGATATAGCGGGATCCTCCGTTCCCAGCGGGAAATGTTCGTATTCTCTCATGGTAAAGCCTGGGAGAGCGTCCGCAATGCTCGCAGTCGAATACGAGAGAAAGAATTCTGCGAGTCACCAATGAACGGAGAGGTCGGCCCCGAGCATAAATGATCATCAGGTGTTCCCTCTCGCCACGATTCCGTACGTAAGTGTAAGTGATTCAGAGGCGCTTTCTGTGAGCGCAATCTGACTAATGTACCCCGGCTGGCAGGTGTTGTCTTTCGCCGACCATCAAGAACAATACGAAAAGGTAGGTCAGCCACAAAGATACACGACGCCGGTATCCAGATAATGGCCCCGGGGAAGGAACCCGACGAGGAGGTGCCGTGGAAAAGGAAAAAGTCGGCCGTTTCCCCTGACTGCCATCGCTGACCAGAACGAGGCCTAATCGGAAGTGATGACCGGAACGCGGAGCAACGAGACTCCTCCGCGACTACAATTAATATACGGCGCATTCTCCGGAAACAGCAGCGGACGGGCGTTCATACGCGCGGTCCGAAAGCCTCCACCCTCCGCATCATCCTCAGGAGGAGAATTTCTCGGGCACGCTAAGTGTGTAACTCGAGACGCGCCATGTCTCACCAGCTCTGAGTCCTCGCCCCGAGGGTGGGTACTCGGTTCCAATCGCTGGCCCCCATCCCTCTGATATCTGAATTCACGTCAAAAATAGATCCGCCCGCTTCATTCGAGAAGTGTTCTCTTGAGGAAGTTTTCCCGTTCTCGGTGCCTATGAACTTTTCGTCGACATCTCCAGGCTCAGTTGCCGAGAGACCTCTGAAATGAGTTTCACGAGCCGGCAGCAGAGGAGAAAAATCTTTCGAGTAGGAACGCCAGATTGGCTGAGAAAAACCCATCAGATTGATGTCGGCTCCTTGTTCCCAACCTTATCGTTGTTCTCTCTCAATCGTCCGGGCTCTTCGCGTGGTTTTTGTGCGTAAGCCCCAGATCGCCGCCACCCGACCGTCGCTCGGCCTCGGGTTCCTCGGATAGCTGAGTTGGTGTTCGTGTTGCGCGCGGTCTCGTAAGGAAAAACACTCGCCGTCGGCGCGCCGGATGTCTTCCTCTATCCACTTCCCTACCTTTCTATTAGGCGACAGTTTCCCTTCGCGTCCACATCCGTAAAATAATTTCGTTACCGCTGAACGAAACCCTCGGACGGCAAGGAAATATGTATTCAGAGAAGCGAGCACGTTGCGGGTGCCTGCGAAGCGTCACGGAGCGAGGAGAAAGGAAAGAAAATTCGCAAATTGGTTGCGCAAATACAAATCAACGTCCCGCCGGTCGGTTCATTGTGGAGGCGAGCAGCGATAACAAGACTTTCACTGTGTTTTCGAGAAAACGACTTCGAGAGGGAAGTTTCCTTTGCACGATGTATGCGTCCCCGAACAACTCGCTTGTTCGTAGAATTCGTGCTTCCGGAGCGGCGTTTCATGAACCCCCCGAGACGATCATGGTCAGGGTACGCTTCCGATTCCGATTGGTCGCAGCAGCAGCAGCATTGACACTCATGGCATGGCACACAGTCGCATGCCCTTGCCAATGATAAGTGGTCGATAAATCCGGCGAGGAAGAATCCGGCGGATGAATATTTTGTCCCTCAGGGCCCTATATTTTATGTTCGCCATAAATCACAACGCTCCCCGGCCGGCTAGTCGGCTCGTGGAATCGCTGGCTGGCTGACTGGCTTATTGGTCGCTGGCATGGATTCACAGAATCGCTCCAGACCAAATGGTTCCTGCAACCCTTTCTGCATCGACCGGCGTTATCGGGAGTTCACTGAGGAGAGGGCACCGCGAGACGGATTCGGGGCACCGACAATACTTTCCAGTTCAGTGGACGCGAGGGCAACTTCCTAATTGTAACCTCCGCTTGGCTTTCACGGGAGCTGCTGTTCGAACAATTTGGAGGACGGCCGGGAACTTGAATGGGAAAATCTCCGAGGGTGAATGGAAGGGGTAATGAAACAAAGTTGGGGGTCTTGCATCAACATGGGTCATCGGCACATCCGAAGAAACATCGCTCGTCTGCCGCCCAAAAGGGACGCAATACAATGATGACGGGATTCCGATAAATGACGAAGATTTTATCGACTATTGATCATAGCGTGCTCCGTCGCTTGCACGTCGCAATCACGACATCGAGGATTGAAAACGCGACTTCACCTCTGGAATCTCGTCGGGAAGGACACGTAGAGGCGGAGCGGCTCGAAAACAACCAGAGAAGCCTCGTGCCCCGAAACACCCACACGAATCGGGATCCACCGATGATGCCGAGAAATACGAACGTGAAGAGACAGGGGTTCCTCGATGCTTCATGGCAAATTCTCCGCCTTCGATCGAACCGAATCGGTGATTCTCGCGATAGAGCATGGAACTCGTCGTCGGGAGTCCTCCCAGGACGTTTCCACATCCTCAGCGCACTATGTAGGAGCTCTGCGCGAAAAACTCCTCGGATCTATTAGCTGGACATATAACGTTATCGGATTCACTCCGGACGGCTTCAGAGGGAATCGCAGTCGTTTTCGTCCGCAGCTTTCCTCAGCCTAAGCTGCCTGAGCTGCTGTCCTCGTCATTAGCATTACGTTCAATAAAAAACTGTCCAGCCACCAAGCAGATGGATGTTGGTCCGAGCATAGGGGACAGCCTCCATGTCCTTCTCGATAGCGTGTTGCACCGTTGCATCCACATAAAGTTGTTCACCATTGTTAATGACCCCGACTATCGCCTCCCGCGTTGGCGAAAGGGGAAACTGCAATAATAGCGCTCTTGGATGGAATCGGCTGGGGTGCCGCCGGGGAATCGGTTAAGGCGTTTGCAGCGAACATGAATTTGACTTCCGAAGCACGGTGAGCACGGTGTATTTGGGGAGCTTGATCGTAGGAATTAATGTCCCACGCGGCGCCTTCGTTATGTGGATGGGCGCTTGATAGTCCGTCTTAAGAACCCCAGAAACATTTCTCTGATCTAATGTTGCTTCGACTGTTTCCACGAAAGAATTTTGGGGTGAATCGTTTCCGAGGGTCGATTTTCGATGACTCATCAATGACGAGCGTAGAGAGCCGAACGATGCGATCTCCGCGGTAGGTCGTCCTGGTCAACAACTCGACGGAGTCAAGTGGACCGTGACGTCGTGATCCTGCTTGGAATCATGACGTCTCCTCGCCTCATACCTGGAAACTGATGATGTCGAGAGATCGAGCCTGCTCCAGGAGATAGACTAGCGAGATATCGAACGAGATACACCCGTAGATTCTCTGGGATTCATCATACACGAGGATTCTAAATTATGATAAGATGCTTGTCTCTGCACCAAAATGATCAACGAGCTTGTGGATGATTCGTCCTTTGGTGTAGGAGGACCTGGATGTAACTCGGAAAGAATAAACATGAAAACGGACTGAATGCATCACTCCCGCTCTTTCTGGGTTCCTCGCTGGTTCTTTCCGCCGACTGTGATGTAATTCTTTCAGAATCGCGCTGTGATGGATTGTCGATTTTCTTCGACAGTTCCGGCTCGAGACCCCCCTGCGAGCGTTTGACGTTTTCGCTCCTCCTTTCTGGTCTTGCTCGATCGTTGAGGCTCCGTCGATTCTGCCTATGCAGAAATCCAGAAGGCGTCTGCTGACTAGAGGAAACGTTCTTCCTTGGAAGACTCTAGAGCTCCGAGAGCTCCCGCCTGTGCTCGAATCAATCTGAGGGTCTAGGCACCAACTCCGGTCGAGGTAGGCGTTTAGAGAAAGCTCCTTCGTGTCCACATTTCCATACTTGACCTCGCGGAACGTAGAGTTCATTATATTCCCTGTATCCCCGGACGTCTCTGTCGTCCATGAGGGCGAAGGGGAACTTTGCGGTGATCTCGCTCATCACTGTCTCTGTTGTGGGATGGAACGATACTTTTCCCACCCATCGCTGTATTCTGAACTACCACATCCGATGGATCTGAGGTCAGGAAGAGCGATGATTAGGATTTTTCTGTGTTTTTTTCAGCTGAAATGTTTCTGTTCGCGGCATTCTCGTTGATTTTCCTCTCCGTCACTTGCTCCGCGAGTTCGAACCAAGCGAAGATCGACGCCTATATCGACGCTATTGTAGACGATGCTTACAAACAAATCGTCGATGCAAAACTCGAACGCTATCCCCTGCAGACGTCCAGCTTCAAAATAGCCAGCACAGGTGAGCCTTTCGAGAATCCCCTTCTCGATCGAAGCCCTGGAGGATTCTTCGACTCGCAAACTTCATCCTGTATTCCGCCGACAGGGATATCTAACCGTGACGTGAAGGTCAACGTGACCAGAGGGCATTTCGAAGCTTTGAGGAGCATCGGCCGTCGCACCCCTTGCAACGTGACGCTGCCCCAAGCATTCAAGGGAAGGAAGGATTTGGCTCCGCCATGTGAGTTCTGAACGAGGAGAAGATGGAGACGGGCTCCCCTTTACTATGTCTTTTTTCTCATTCTTCTGGCTGATATCTCCCCTCCCCCCTTATTTATGAGAAGCTCGATTGTTTTTAGCAAATATCACTATCAGTTGCAACGTGACGCTAGCCGGCGTCAGAGCCGTCGTCTTGAACGGGACATTCAAAGGGGATACTCTCTCTGGGAGCGCGAAAAACTTTTCCACTTCGACCATCGTTGAGACAGCGAACATGAATGTGACCTTCGTTGGTCGACCCGGTGAGTAGGGAAACCACGAAAGCGTCCGGCTCGATGATTTTCCTTCATGCTCTGACCCTGAATCACCCGATTCTCGCCCGTATAGTTTTGACCACGCTCTCATTCAGCGATGATTGATCTTGCAGGCCTCAAAGGACACTTGAGCCTCACCGTGCTACGCAGAATCGTCCTTTCAACAAGTTTCCAAAACCCCAAGCAGAAACCCGACCTCAACAAAGAGCGTTTCATGCATTTCATCGAGGAGCTTAACAAAAAGTTAGCGACCCAACTGTTCACGTTCGCCGAAGGTCCGTACAAAAAGTACCTCAACATCGCCACAGCCCGCAAAGTTCTGCCCTATCTTGTCTGATCATCGCATTCATCGATGGACATTTGAACATATTCACACGTGTTTGCAATACATGAATCTGATAAGGAGTCTCATTGCAATTTGGAGTGGTCTCTAAGATTGGTCCGCGCTCAGGGACTGATATCCGAGAATTACACAGCTAGCGCTGGAGCCAGTATTACTCAACGATTTCAACGCGCCGCAAAGCGTTCCCGCAGCGGGTCTTTTCTGCGCTATAAGAGCCGTAAGACCGCGAGAACGTGAACACGTGCGAGTCTCCGAGAAATAGAGGAGCCTCCCGCCTGCCACCTCGTATTCCTCCGAGAATCCTCGGAAAAAATCAGAGTTCGACGAACGAGGCGTATTTCCACCGGATCGGAGAATGAGAATGAATCGAAGCGGGGAGTAGCGCATGGTGTTTCTCCATGGTTTCTACGCTCGATTCCGGATTACAAGAGTCCAGTTTTGATTTGCCGACTCGTCTTGAGTCAGTTTTTATCAATTCGAGATAAGGCGTCTGCGATCAGTCCCAAGTCGTTCGGAATCACGTCAAGGAACTTGGGCCGATTGTAATGATCAGCGATGAATATAAATCCATGCGAAACTCACGGACGCCTGAGTATAACTCTCGGTGTTCGCGATGAACCCGCATTCCGATGTGACATACCGCCTCGAATCCGAAATCAATTGCTCAAGTCCACGGCTCCGCGACAATGAAAGGTTTTCAGAGGCTCACGAGACTAGAATCTCTTCAAGCAGCGTTTGCCAACCTTTTTCGTGCCGAACACTCGCGGGGTACTCAAGTGTCTCGGATACCCCCTTCCGCTGAAACAATGATTGAGAACTCGACCCGGGGGAGAAGGAAGAAGATGATCCCACAACACCACGTTTTTCCGCTGTTTATTTCCAGAGTTTCCCATCGAGAGAATGTTCCAGAAGTTCCACTGGAAAAACTTTAGCTGATCACATTCATTTGAAAAAATTCAGTGCAGGTTCTGCTTGATGCCAAATCTGTGAGTTGCGTAGAACTACGTCAACGTGCTCGAGGGGACTCATTGCAAGAGCGCGATGAAGTCGATGAAGCAAATTGAGGATGAAGTCCGGCCGCACTCTTCCGAAGCCAATGAGGTTCGATCCCGGATGCGAAATCCAGGACCCTCAACGATATGTTCCTCTAATCTCAAGTCTCGATATGGGGAAAATATTCGGACGCACTCTTATGAAGCCGATGAAATTCGGTCCCGCATGAGAATCCTGGGTCCTCAAGGATGTGTTTCTTTCCTTATGAAGTTCCGATTCAGACGGTCAAGTCCGGCCGCACTCGAGCGAAGCCGAGAATTGATCGATGAAATCGTATCGCAATATAGATCAAATCCGGATGTGTGCCCCGAGCCCTCATTCAGCGAATCAAGAATATAGTACTACCTTGCCCAAAACCTTAAGAATTACTCGGATTTAGAGAAGCTCCGAGTGCCCTCTTTCGGGACCCGCTGTCTCAAGTTGTACTTCTCGGTACCCGAACCTGGTAGAATTTATTCCGGAACTTACAAGCGCGCAAGCGAGCGATTTGGACTCACCGAAATTCCGTCTGGAGAGATTCAACGACGAACCGACCCCTCTGGGTCGGTGACCGGCGGCTCCGACCGTCCAGCTTAGGCAACATATCGAGTGCAAGTCCAGAAACTTTGCTGGCCAGGAAGACCAAGCGTCCATCGCAGCTTGTCTCCCTGGTGGGACTCCGGTTGATCGGGGGTACATCCGGATAGGCTCCGACTTCGACCCAGGGTTATGGGAGTAGGACGGAGATGCTCTGAAAACAACGAGCACAACCTCGTTCTCAGCTTCCGCGGAAGAGGAGGGCGGCCATTACGAGAGCTAAGTTGATTCGGAACCGAGACAGTTGTTGGAATGTCTCACGGGTACTTTATTATTATTCGTATCGATACGAATATTCCCTCCTCGGCGTGATAATGAAATCAGAATCCTTGAACGTTGCTAGAACGTCAACTCTCGAGTGGCTAAGGAGGTCCTACACGAAATTATGTACTCTATGCATCCGTGGATTCCGGAAGGGAAGAGCCTGTCTACAAACGAAATGTTAAGCGTCGAGGGATCAATCCAAAAGTCAATTGTCTCTCGATATCTTCCCGCGCAACTTCCTGGAATTCTGTGTTCGACGGCTGTACGGATGAGCTCCTCTCAAACCAGACATCAGGGCAAGACGGAGAGTGGAACTTGGGCCGAAAATTCCAGGAGCATAACCCGGAAGACCCTCAGGAGCAGGTAGTTCGGTAAGTACTCGGTCGACATATCCAAAGACGTTCGGTCCTACGATCAGCTGTCATTAGCAACATCCACACAGACTCAGAAATGTACGTCCAGCTGATGACGTCGCCTCGGGCACTAGTTCAGGCTGGATCGACGTGTTCTGATGATTGCTCCACCACAAGAAGTGGACATGATTATGGGCGTGGAAAACTCGACTGGAAATTGTACGTCGAATCATCTACCTGTAGTGATATTTCTCTCAATTTCGATTCCTTCTGAGGCGAGGGAGTTTCTCCGACCTTGCCTCCGATAGACAATCGCAGCGCGCCTGTTGGACGTGGGCCCTCTCCACCAAGCCCCTAAGCGCCGATGCCTAGTCGGCAATTCGAACACCGAAAGCACGGACGATTCGGGGAATACGAAGACGGGAGACTTCTAATAACCCGGGCTCCCCAGGGAACACGAGAAATACGAAAGGTTCTCGACTGGAGAATTCGAGAAACAGCACAGTATCGGGAACAGCACAGCTCGGATCGACCTAGCTTCGCTCCTTCTTGATCCCGGTCTCGGACCATATGATGGTATGAGGCTCCGAGCGCGTTTCACGCAAATTATACATGTCGCCACGCTCACTATCAGACGAGCGTCACTGGCCGGCTCGCTCGCTCATTCCTAAAGCTAAGCCAAATTCACCTCCCCGAAACCCATCTTTCCGAGGAGCTCGTGGAGTAGAAGTTATTCTTCAGCTGAGCCCTTCGCGAGAGTCGGCTGAGGCAGTTCGGAACACGATAACTCCGAGAGTTCAGGGAACAGGGTTATCGAGGCCGATGAGCGGAGCTACGCGCACGCGGGAAATCCTCGCTATTTGCTGACGTCGTACGACAAATCCCTACATTCGTATCTCAGATGTCCGATTCGAGAGTCTCAGACTTCTATGGAAGGACCGCTGAGCCCAGACTCCATAGGCAGGTTGTCATCCATGTCGTGGTCTAAAGGAGATTTTCCCTTGATTGGGCCACAAGCCATAATGCCGATGATGTTGAGCGTTTGCGAGAGGATGGCACCTGCGCAAAAAACGCGGAAGAGATATTCTGGACTCCGGATGGATCGGTTCCTGTTCCGAGTTTTTTTGGAGCTCATCGAAAATCTCTAATCCCCGCTCCGGTTGTCTGTTTCCGCGGAACAGCATTCACTCCCCTCCTCGCACCGACTTTCAAAATTCCCCATCGCACTGAGCCTTGGAACTAATGCCTAAATTGAGCATGAGGAGCAGATTAGGTAGGCATTGGAACACTCATTGGAACACATTGGAGCACTCGTTCAGAGAAACATCGGACCCCGAGAGCTCCAATCTGTGCTTCTGCTGTACCGGTCTACCATGGTGAACGATGTCCTAAGCGACCAATTCGGAACACTCCGACAGCCGAGTCATTTATCTTCATTTGGTGTAGCAAGTGTGATTTAAAATTCTAGACTCAATCGGATCCGCGGGAACGTCCACCGAATAATTCCCGGAACATCCAGCATCATTGAGGTTTCGCGCCCAATTTGAGCAAGTATTCTGACAAATAATCCCGGGTTTTCTAGTCTCCTGAGAGTTGGAGTGACAAGTCGCAGAGTCGTGACGGGGGAGATATAAGTCGTTTATTCCTCCTTCAAGCTCTGAGAGATTCCAGCAGCCAGCAGCTTTCCTTTATATATCTTCACTCTTTCCGCTCCGACAACGCCAACAACGACGAATGCGTGCCGTAACACCGCCGTTTCTCTTTGGTTCAGCAGTTCAACGAAAGGCTCCTGTGTATGACTAACAGAGTCAGTAGCGGAATTGAATTGCTCCGAGAGGGTAGATCAACACGAGATCTCGTGCTCCCAAGAGAGGCGATCCACGTGTTTCACGCACACGCGCCTTTCTCAACACCTTCATCTGACTGAGTGAGGAAGAGGAACGAGAAGATGATGATGTTTGACTTTCAGATTAACGCGAATTTCTCTCTGCTTCGAGTGAGTAGAGGGGTTTACTCAGTCAGAAAATTCTTCTCGAATGAAGCCCCTTTGATCCGTCAGGTGACGAAGCGCTTCACGCAAGCACCTCCTCACCAGAATCCAGAGGCGAGAAGTTTCGAGAGAGTCGCATGCGGGAAGGGATTGTAAATCGCTGCGATGTCTCCGTGATTCAAGAGCCGAAGGCAGCGAATCCCGCCGTGAGAGACTCCGATCGACCATCGGGGCTACCCTTAGGCTTCCTTTCGGAAATCATATTTCTCTCGTCTGGGGGGATTCGGGAGCGGAGTCACAAGCGCTTGCATTGTCCACCGTTCACACTGAGTCCGCTACCACTGCGGCAAATCCATGAGAAATACGCAGGTCGTCGGCGACTCCACGCATTTCCTCCACTCTCGGCGGTCCGCATCTTGCTCCCGAGTTCAACCGACTCTGATGAAGAGGATACAGGATTCGATAGCGAACGTTTGAGGGGATCGGCTGCAGAATCGAATCATTTGACTCTTCTTCCACGAGACCGATATTTGCTGGGCTCTCCAGGGAAATCCCATAAGAGCTTCATCGTCTGACTATCCTGAGATTGAAGTCCATGGACGAAGTTCGTATTTTTCTCGCGATCGAGAGCAGAACCTTTGACGTGACGGTAGCTCCCCGATAGACATCAACCACCGGCCCGGTGACCGATCAGGCTTCGAAATGCTAGAGACACTCCCGTCAGGACGCGACGCCGTATCTCTTGGCGCCATCAGAGCCACTTGATGGACATTGGATGTGTCCTCGAGTCGGGTTCTTCCAGGAGCCGGCTCAGAGCTCGATAGAATGCCATCAAGAATGTTTTCGATCTCCTTCTTGTGGACTGGGGACATACATTTCAGGAAAGATTTGAGGACTCCTCCCGATCATAGATGATAATAGCTCCGACGCTATCAAGATAGCTCTCTCAACCATGAGCAAATGTGTCTTCGGACTCAGCAGAAGGAAAATTCCTCAGGTATTCACAGAAATGACTTCATGGCGCCTAATCAACTACGAGACACCGGAGCTACTATAAATCTACCCGACACGGTCCTATCGGCCCGACTTGCAAGACCGCACATAACGATGAAACTCCAAGTGACAGAACTTGATTATCTGGCAGGCGATCGCGATCGATACTCGTCAGGAAAGTTTCGAAATAAGAGATCATGCTCTTTTCTAGTCATCTCCCTGAGTCTGTGGCTCAACAACCCTCGCTGTCCCGGATGTATGGACTGTGCTCCCGACTCTTGCGCAGAATGTCCAAGATCTCCGTCTGAATCTCTATTGGAGGCGGCGGGCGAGTTCATCGCGGGCTAAGACTGTGCGTTCGGGAACGACGAACGCTCCCGAAAATTCTGCCAGAGCCTCCGCATGGATTTCATCTGACTGTGACGGGTATGTCAACCGCGATCTCGGATCTGATCAGCGTGTCTCGGATGCTTATCTTTCCGAGATCCGCGCCGAGAATCACCGAGCTCTGATAGCGCATGGGGCCTTGATTCTTGTACAAATTGGGTCCGGGGTACAAATACGAGTCCAGCAGCATGGTGTCGGCGGGAGGAATCTAGACTCGCCGAGATTCGCCCCTACATGGCTTGTAAGTCCGCCAAGAAGTTTGCCGCATCCGGTTCCACGCGCTGTGCCTCTAAAGTTTCTGATCCTCAGTACATGCAGTCGGGGAATTTAATGAAACGGATAACTACCGAGAGAAGTGATGAAGATGCACTTCCGTCGCTCTCTGGCAGTCGACCTAACAAGCAGCGATTTCCGCAGCTCGCTGCGCTCGGACGGATTTGCTCGAAACTTTTGTCAGCATTTCGTCCGTAGACAGGCCTTAACTACCCACATCCAGACTCGGCATTGTTCTTTCTGCCACGGGAACTCGATGCATTTCGAGATCCTTGAAAGTCCACAGCCTACTTACTGAGAGCTGAGAGATGGCGTTTCCACGGAATCTCAATGTTCCAGTGCAGAGTTAAATTTTTGAACAATCGTCAAGAGAACTCCGGTTGGATGAAATTCATGAGAAGCGTCAGAAGTCAGAACAGCTCATCCCGTCTCCGATAAGTATCAAGCATGGAATTCTGATCGTTCTGAATCGAGACCGTTTTTTCAGCGGGATGGAGATTGAGGAGATCATCTGATCGGTTTGGAGGCTCGATCTCGCATCTCCGCCCCTTGTTTTGCCCTGATGATCCACGCATTACGGGAAACTTTGCGGTCATTGTGCAGCGTGCGAGGAGGGTCCACGGGCTCCACTCACAAATCCATCTGACTGACATCTCAATGTTTCGATCGAATTTGAAATGATTCATGTCGTGCGGCAAGGGTCGCGATTGTGCCCTCAAAATTCACCCGACAGCGAGCAACCATGTCGAGGCATGCGAGCCTGGATATCCATCATGGGATTTACTATCGCTCATGGTCGACAGTATTAGACCAAAGTGCAGAACGACGACGAAGTGCTTTCTGTTTTGCCGCCGCCGCGCCGCTCGTACGCGGAGGCAGCCTATGCTCAGCTCAGCAGGTTTGGTTCGCGAATCTTCTTTTCCCCGTCCGCTCCGTTCCATAGCCCTCGATTCGTGCTTTAGGGCTATCACACAGATTTGTTCAGGTACCGAGCTCAAAAATGATCATCTACCTAGTGAGAGCCGCCTCGTCCTCTAAATTGACTGCAGGATCGAGCGGTTCGGCGAGTCAGATTTACAATCGGCCGCCATCTGGCGTGAGATTCCAAGAGAGTTAGTTGCCGCGGCTTCGCTGGAAAAATCGTCCGGAAGTTCGTCTGTGATGCGAAACGTTCCTATCCCCGCCCCTGAGGCGACAAGCGGGAAAAACGGCGCTTGGCGGAGCTGAGTAACAGCTAAGTCAGGCTTATTTGTAGGAGGTTTCTTCAACTTTCTCATACTGGCGATCTCCATGAGATGTTTTTGTAGCTCGACTAAACCTTCATTTTCAGGCAGCGACACTCGTGTCGAGTTCGAGCTGAGAATGTGTGGAAGGAGTTTTTCTGTTGACTGCTCTCACAGCCCTGTGTCATGTCACAATAATCGGCGGGCGGAGCGACCGTTTACGATACGTGGATAGTTCAAAGTTCAGAAGACTCTTTGCTCCTGTGACTTTCATTAGACTGACGGTAGTGATGTCGGTCTTCAAGAGCCAAAGTGGATGTGATTTGCAGGATTTCCTTCTTGCTAAGTGTTCACCCCTTCTCGTTTTCAACAGGTCGGTATCTGGGAGCCGACGGAGGATTGAGGCTGAGCGAGTGGTGAAATGAAGTACTATCCGGCTCACGGAGTGACTGCCTTGGTTCGCCGACCATCGTCGCTACCGATATTGATCCTGGGTTTGTCTTGATTCCCATCTTCCGCGATTCTTCTCATGTCCAGGAATTCTATGGACTTCACTAATTCTATGATGTTCACGAGAGACTTCGTGGGGACTCAAATGTCTTTGTAGGAGACGGCGGTCCTGGTTTACACGTGTGAGCTCGAGAGTTGGAGGATACTCATTTTTACGGTCTGCTTCAGGCGTTATAATCGGCATCTCTCTGACCCTCTTGGCGTTCAGCTCCCTCAGGATTCTCTATACGACATCCGAGCCTTCGAGTTACCCATATGCGAGAGTCATATCTCACCAACGCCGACTGCCGGACGGACCTCATCGGAAAGATGACGACGATACCGACGATTGGCCCTTCGAGCCTTTTGAAATCGCCGATAGGTCGAAACATGATCACGCAGTCGAGTGTAAGTTGGGCATTGGGAAAATATTATTGACGTAACCAGACCAACCTCAGCGGGAGCGATAGTCCGCCAACTTCAACCTCACCGGCGGCCATGATCGGGTCGAGCAGCCTGATCCTCTGGGTCATTTGAGCTACGAACAATAGAGAATTCTGCCAACTGAATTTAGGTGCAACGACGTATTCGTTCACAGATAGCCGTAGTCTACAGGAGAAAGTCCGCGTTCTCTGCTGGGTCATGACTGAGCCCCACTCACATAAGAGAAAAGCTCAGCATGTGAAATCGACCTGGGGCAAGCGTTGTAATGTTCTCCTGTTCATGTCGAGTGTCAACGACTCGTCACTCCCTACAGTCGCACTCAGAATAGAGAAGGAAGACCGCAATCACCTATGGGAGAAAACCAAATTGGCATTCGAATACGTTAGTAGAGATGACGGTCTCTCTTCACGAAAACCGATGAACACTCGACTCTTCATTTTGATGTTGCCCCCAATCCATCATTAAGTGAATATGTGATCCTCGGCATGCTCGCGGCTGCCTCTAATGTCCGTTCCCCTCTTGACAGGTTCACAGAAATCATCGAGATGATGCGGATTGGTTCGTGAAGGCTGACGATGACACCTACATGGTAGTCGAGAATCTGCGTTTCATGTTAGCCCCGCACGACACTGCCCGGCCCATATATTTCGGACACAAATTCCGACCCTACGTGAAGCAAGGCTACATGAGCGGCGGATCGGGCTATGTGTTATCCAAGGAAGCTCTTGACAGGCATGTCATGTCGACGATTCTGACTGACAGCGACGTTGATGGCCCTGTCCCTGTGACGCAAAGCCTCTCGATCTCATAACTCGTTCGTTCGTTCGTTCGTCTTCAGGTTCGCCAAGAGGAACGCCACGACTTGCCGCCAGGACGCAGGAGGTGCCGAAGATCTCGAGATGGGGAGATGTCTTGAGGCATTGGGAGTCGAAGCGGGCAACTCTCGCGACGAGAGTGGCGCTGAGCGTTTCCTGCCGCTCAACCCCGAGTTCTTCCTCGCCAGCGAGAGAGATCAGAACTTCTGGTTCTGGCAGTACACGTTTTATGCTCAAAAAGAAGTAATGATTAATCATTCGGGCTTCCGGATGACACTATCTCGACAGAGAGCTTTTGGAAATTTTCGATGATCTGAGAGGATGCGGCGGTCTTGATAACAGCGATGTTCTTTCCCGACAGGGAGCGAGGTCCATCAGCGATTCGTTCGTTTCGTTCCACTATGTGAACCCTGCTTCGATGCACGTCTTGGACTTCATGCTGTACCATGCGAGACCCTATGGATTACTCTCTTGGTTCCAGGAAGAAAATTATCGAGATCCGGTCTTGGTGACCTCCAATGCGACCGACTCGTCCAGTTAAAGAGATTTTCTGTTGCTCTGCTAAATCAATAGGGGAGTCCCGGCAGGTGAAGATAATCGAACATCGTTAATCGACACTGTTCGACAAAAGTTCACTGCCGATATTCGATCGAAACGTCTACGCCTCGCTCATTCGGCTGACCCCTCCCTCACAATGATACGCGACCCGATGGCCTTTGAGAGTATAAGGTCTACAAACCGACTGAATTCTTTCATATCAGTTCATGTCTCATTCGGACTGATTTTTGAGCGCCCTGAAATGTTTCCTCGAATAGCTCCGAGCCACCGGAAAGGCAGAGGAGAGGCTACGAATGCTCTCCTGACTAGGGAAGGGCCCTAATGAGCTGAGCGCTCTCGTGATCAGATGGACTCATGCTGTCCCGGCGGATTCCAATGATGCCGCTCGGTGATACGGAGTATCCTCCGAGATCTCCTTCGGGGTGGAAGGTCCACGGATCTCCCAGGAATATCGATTGGAACGATTCCATTTCTTCGGATTGGGACCTTTGACTCGATTTTCGTGTCACTCAGGAGGTTCCCGTTCCTCCCCCAAACGACGTGTCTATGATTGTGATCGATGAGACCGCTATGTATCGTTTCTCTTGGAGAGGCCTTGTATAAATATCGTGTAATCCCTTCATTAGGCGTGATGCTTGTCACTCCTCGAGGCATTGGAGCACTCGAAAAGCCACTCGTATCTCTCGAGCGATAAGTCGGAATACTCGGTCGATTCTGCAAAAATGAGTGTGCCAACGACGAATTCAGTAGTAGTCAGAACCATACATCGACACGGCGGATGATAGACCGAATATGTGTGTGTGCGTTCGCGAGAGCGATGACGTCTGCGCTAGGCCGCGTTTTGAATAGTGAGTTTCTCGGGCCTGACGACGAGAAGTTAACTCCGGGTGCTGGGCCATAAATCTCTCGGATCGAGACCTACGGGCGGACAGCTCGCGTCTTCCGAAGGAGCCTGTTGAAATGCTCCGTACCGACGAGACGGCTCACGGATCTTTTGGTTCGGTAATTTTCTTCCCTTTTCGGAGGAGGGAAGCACGATATGTCCCGGTTTGCCAAAGTCATTGTTGGAATAGCTGAAAGGGAATGGATATTTTGTGTATCGACTGGAATGAGCCAAAGACGACCTAGATGCTCGAATATTTATCGCTGGATTTTGATTCGTCATCGAGGATGTCGGTGTGATATATCGAAGTGTAATCATACAGAAAAGGGAATTGAATGTATCCGAGCAGGATCTTGATCAATAAAGAGTTTAATATCGTTCAATGAAGTTGGATTCACCGACAGTGTGGTCGAGTTGCGACATAACTCCTCGGCAGGCTTTTCGAGAAAGATGGAGTATCGTCCACAGTTCTGCAGCAATAGTGAGTGGGCGATTCGATAGGCAGCCTTGATCTCCGGGAATCTTCCGATCGAGCTCTACTCCACCTGAAATCTTCGGGTTCTCGTCGAGACAATTCTCTCCTACTTCGTATCATTTCACTCGTGACATTGAAAATTCCCGAGGAGAGAGACCTTCGAGTCCCTTGGCCCTAAGAAATAATTGCTTCTTAATCATTAGTGGGAGCTAGCGAACGGGGAGTGGTCTCCATCGGTCACTCGGCAACGGGTGCTCAGAACATTCGTGGGGCTTACGTCGTAGCTTACACCGGTGTAAGCTCACGCGGTCAGCCAGGGGGGGCAGTCAAGTCCGTATTCTCATCATCCATTCTTTGGGAGAAGACAGAGTCCCGCTCGCAGGATAGAGACCGACGGTCAGGTAGGGGGAGTCCCGGAAGGAGTGAGCTCAGGGTAGTCAGTACGTCCAACGGCAGGAGCTAGTCACCATTAAGCGCTCTCGTTGAATCGACGAATTCAGAGAAGCTCGGCTGAATATGCTGGAAAAGGAGACGCCTTGCGGTGAGGATCCGGATCATTATTCTTCTCGACAATGTGATTGTGGAGTCGGCTTTCAAACTTCTCTAACCTCAGGTTTAGAGTACGCTCTCGGCGGTCTCAATCCTAAACACGGGATGGGTGACAACCGGCGTCGCAGGTTTCCATGCATACTTGAAATCTGGAATAATCCACTCTAGGAGCGAGGATGGCGACGAAACTCCCAGAGATCTGGGGTTCTTGGCGACAGCCTCTCGCCCTGCCGAGCCTCAGCATAAGGAACCCCGCGCGGCGACGGTTCAGGCAGGGCTTCCCGAGTTGAGAAGAATTTAGAGTTTCTGAGGCTGCGCCCAGCCGGCACTCCGCTCTTCGTTGTAGTCAGAATCGCCATGGTCGTTGATCGGGAATTCCCGCAGAACTCTCAGGACTCCAATCGATACCAAATAATTACTCTGTCATTCAAGCTGACCGGAATATTTTTCGGTCCATCGACCGATGTCCCAGGTCTCGATGCATGCGGAAGCGATTATTCGAAATCGCACATTCACAGTTGTATCTGAGATCCTTAGGACTACCGTAGACTACTGCACAGTTTTTCGGTATGCCAAGCATGGATTCCCGAGAGGCGCCAAGCAGGCAGGTGATGAATCGACATCGACCAAATTTCGGTTCCGAGGGTAGTGTTTGATAATTGGAACATCGACACTTTCCGCGATATCGCTGAATGCGATGCCATCAGTCTACTTCGTTCCGAAGACAGAAGTCGGACTCGGTTCCGGAAATCATGCCTGATAGATGAGAGCGCTTGCCCATTCTTCGCTCTAATCGCATTCGAAAGCGAGTTTTCGGAGCTCCCAAGCAGAGCTGTGCGCCATGGGATTTTCGTCGGCGGCGGCGGCGGGCTGGAAAACGAGCGGCGGCGGCGGGCGCCGCGGCGATTTTCGGCGGACCGATGAGCCCATGGCGCGCCGCGGTATAGGTGGAACGCACGTTCGAAAGTCTTCTGATTGCGTCGCCTCATTTGTCGGGGATGAAATACTATTGGACACGTGCGATCTTCCGATGAATTCAAGTCTAATTGATCAGTCAGGGCTCTCAACGACCACGGAGCTTCGGTCCGCAACATCCCGTCTCATTCGAATGCTATGTCCCCGCATTCTCGTGCGAGCTCAGTACCTCGAACTGAGTTTCCAATTTTTTTCCCGTGGTTTTCTGCTACTTTTCATGAGGGTTGGGCACGGCGCGCCGGCGTTCCGTCACGCCGTCGGACGCCGTGCTCGGGTTCCGGCGGCGGCGGCGGACTCCAGAGTTCGGCGGCGGCGATCGCCGGCGAATTCGTGACGCGGCGCACAGCTCTGCTCCCAAGCATCGAGCCCAAGAGTTAGTTTTTTCGATGCCGTACGAAGTAGATCTCCGCTCGAGAGAATAGGTGCGTGTCAAACCTGTCTGTCGTCGGTTATGTTCCCTATGTGTCTTCCGAGATCGCGGCGTTGCAGCAGAGTGCGAAGTTGTAAAAGTGATTGACAGGACCAAGCAAGAACAATTCCTGCCTGGACCCAGGAGGAAAAGGAACGACATCACCTTCCTACGGTCAAGTATCTGAGCTCCAACAGAATATTTGGTGTCGTCGGCGCCGTCGTCGCCGTCAAAGGACGTAGAGGGGCCCGATGGTGAACGAGATTCAGCAGCGGGGAGAGAGACCCTCGCCGCGACCTAAAGAGTTAGCTTACTACAGCGAGCAAGCTAGATGGCGGGCGAGAAAACGAGTAGAATGTCACATTCGGAAACAAAGAGCAATTTCGCGCTAGGAGACTAGCATTTCAGCGTAGAGGGATTACGAGGACTTCCGTGTGCCTGCTAATGCACATACATCACGACTCCCGCACAGAAGTCCTAGCGTCGGGGAAATAATAACACGAGCTGATGGCGCACACGAAGAGGGTCGGATAAACAGCTGAGAAGCCAGAGGAAAAGCCTCGTGGTTCGACCTCCGCAGTTTTAGAGCGTCGGACGCGATGAATACGTTTCACGAGGTCTCCCGGTCGATCGCCTCCGAGTCTGGCGCAGTCGATGCGTGGTCACTGCGTCGAAGCTCGGAACGATGATTCTCTCTCCGTCTCGCGTTCCCCCCGGTCGACCGCGGGACATCCTATAAAGCTGCGGGCAAAGCTCGAGCGCCGAATTCGGTCGCTTCTGGCTTGAAGAATCTACTCGAGCATTCCTTCGGGAGAAAATGCGTACTGTCAGGTATCCACTGGGCTAACCATCCTCGCTCGGCTGACGCCAATGATCTGCACAAAATGACTTCCCTCATTCAGCTCGCCATCCGATGGGCCTGCTGAATCCCCACGCTTGTAGAGGAATCGGAGGGTCAAGAAATCGCGGATGTCCTCGGATAGGCGCCTTCTAAGCCCCCTCCCAACGGCATTCTAAGCGAGCCGCGACCGATAATTAATCGGCATGCATCTATTTGAATGATCCATCGGCTCGGTTGGGCACGGCGCCACCAACTGTCCAAAGTCATTGCCTCGAGTCGCAAAATCGTCGGGAGCCTGCCCGCACAGTCGGGTGACAATGGAAAAATCAGCACCACGAGTCGAACGTGCCGCGTCCGATTTAGACGAGAGTCGTGAATGCCGGGTCGAGAGTTGCGGAGGACGAGACGGCCGGAACCACGGTGCGCCGCAGTTTCCCCATCTGCCAGCTCGTCTATCGAGTTCGTTGGTCAAAAAGCGCCGCATGTCGTAACGAACGTGAATGATGTGATCTCAAGTTTACTGCCGCAGGAGAAAGCTCTCGACGCTGTCGGTGTTAGCAGTCGCCTCTGTCGCTGTAAAACTTCCTTTATGTACCGAAAATATAAAGTAAAAAGTTATTGCGGCCCAACTCTCTCGAGTCAAACAGATCCGATCAAGATTCACGGCCGCTCCATCAAAACCTTGCTGTTGTCGATACACACAGAAATTCGATGATCTGAGCTAGTAAACCCTCTTCTTATCGGTGGCGGACGAGAGCGTGGAGCTCAGAGCTACTAGCTAGATTCATAAAGGGAGTCAAATGCTCATCAAGCCCTCACCCCGAACTTGCATCCGGGATCATCTCATCCCAAGAGAGTCTCTCGGCCTTATCTAGGGTGAGACATCGAGACGAACAATATCAACGGCATTTCCGTGCGGGCGGCCGTTGTCGTGGCTTTTCTATCGGCGTGACACCTCGCCAGCTGTGAGACTGAGTGGTATCCAGCGTGTCCACTTCTCGGATGTCGGGACTCCGGAAATGAGAGAGGGCCCAGAAAGGACACGGCCTACGACTGGAATCGACTGAATGTAACAGCAGCGCAAACGGGCGACAGCGGAGCGGTCGGTCGACCGAAACTGATCTCTAATTACACTCGAGCTCCGCTCCCGATTCCTGCCGTTGTCGTTCGTGCCTGATCAGGAAGAAAGTGCGAATGAGTCGAGAAAGCGCTGTCCGATTCCTGGACGAGATCGAACGAGCGTACAAAAACGAAACGAACAAGGTCGACGACGAGGTCTCGCGGCGACGAATCCAACAACGAGACCGAATTGCTGAGAAGGAAATCCTCGTCGGCCCGTCCTTTGCGCGATTCAAACTCGAAATCCTATCAAGTTCTGACGACTGATAAATATTCCCTTCGAGCGAAGCCCGAGCTGACAGACGCAGCGGCTTCTACTCTCGACGTCGAACCCACCACACAGCTGATGGAAGCGAGAAGTAATTAGCAGCGACAGGTTGGGTTCTCGACACGTTTGCCTATTTCGGAATTTCCACGCTTCCAACATCTGTCACTGCGGCGACTGCGGCTGTTCGATCCATTCTGCGGGAGAGAGCCAGCAGCAATTAGAAGCCAGCAAGTCCTCCTGAGCATCGGCGGAGATGGAATGAGTCGTCGTGAGATCTCACCCTCGACCAGAGTCTCGTTCGAAGTTGGAATATATCAGGATACGAATATCACTCCTCTCACCACCATGAGTGCTGTATATTTGTTGATCAAATCATCTCGGTTCGAAACTGCGAGAGCTCCCGATCCGTCGAGTGCAAGTGCTTATTCTCACTGAAGAATCTATTTCACGTATTATCGTAGCTCACTCGGATTTTCAACGCGCATATAGTTCCCAATTTCAGATGCACGTCAAAAATTCACGATTAGAGTTTGAGTCTATGAACGACGCTACGGCAATAATAGTAATCAATTCCGTGGGTCTCAAATCCATCACAGCATCGCTCGGAAACAAGATAGAGCATCAAGCCTAGAATAGGGAGCAATGAAGGAGCAGCACGCACGCCTGGCTACCAATCTTTTCGAACAATTTAGACTCTCGGAGGTTCGATCGAGAGATCGGAAGATTTTTTCCCGAACTAGCAACGGATTACGCCATCAGGCTAACTGGGCTCTGGCCTAAGGCGAACATTTGATGGGTTACCGCTGTCTCCCGCCATTTTATGCAACTCATTCCCGAAATAGCGAATCAGGCTAATTTAGTCGGAGTAGGTATTATATAGAGAAGTCACTGAAAAACGGATCAGAGACGAAACAATTCGTCCACACCCATAGTGCCAGAACCCGACGCCGAAGCCCGGCAGTCTGAGAGTCGTCTGCCCGAAAACCATGGGACCGAAACCGAAAAGCCCGGAAAGTTACCTGCCAGATTCAGCGGAAGTTCCGTCGGGGTTTTCTGCGGATCCAAGTCGCTAACCACCCGACCATTCCCCCGGAGCATGGTACACTTCGGCCCGCGGTCAGCGAATATTACTTACCTGCATATGGATCGCTCCGAAATGTCGGTCGGCCATTTTCCTCCCCTCAGACCATCAGCGAGTCAGCCTGGCTGGTCCAGGAAGCCGGAGATACTTTCTATCCAGGCTTGATGCAGCCCGGATACGAGAATGCCCGCCCTCAACGGAACGGATTCGGCCATTGAAGAATGAGTCTCTTTTCGATAAAAGTTTCTCGTCGAACGAGCCGCCAGATTGCTCGCGGCACTGCTCTGCCTGGGCACGTGTTGCCAAGTTCACTCCGAAGTTTGGAGATCTGAATTTCAATATAGATCCCCGCTAATGAAGCCTTTTGAGCGCCAAAGTTGAGGTTGAGCCTCCGTCTCTCTCGATCTCGCCCTCGTCGAAGTCAGGGGCTTTTGATTCGTAATTCCAAAACGGCGCCATTAGCCAGCAGGAGCTTCGAAATCATCCATGATGAATGAATCCCAGAGTCCGGATCGTTTCCTCATGCGGACTTGACACCTTGATGGGACTGAGAGCTCACGTCTCCCGTAGTCGGGGGTTCGTGTCTAATATGAAGACGTATGCTAAGTTTCGAAATCGGAATAACCGTTCCGTGAAGCGCTCGACTAGTCCGTCCGTAGTCGGCAGGGGAGGAGCCGTGGTGCACGCCTGCGCGAGCCTCACCTCGACTTCGTTCCTAGACCACATTCGAGCCCGAGCGTGTACGAATACTAATCGATGAGCACCTTGAGAAACTCGAAATCATGCTCATTCATGACCTCAACTGAGTTTGAACTCCGGGCTTGACTGAGACAATGAGGTTCCAGTCCGAAGACGATCTTGAGTTCCATCGAGAGCTCTCGAAGCGAATGCGGGATGGATCAGTTCACTCATTCCGGGAGCGTTGTGCTCAGTCGATGGTTTTCCCATTCTCGCTCAACCGGGAGGCCCGTGAAGCGCGGGATGCTGGCGATGTCCCGGCTGACCTCCGAAAGTTGTTCTGGACATCGGAGCACCGCTCATGGGAGCGCCGATGTAGCCAGTGAGGTGATGCGGTCGGTCGACATCATGTGCGGTCCCGTTATTGGAAAAGCATTAGCTCGCTGGATCTGCAGCTCGCTGAACGGCTTGCCTGCCCGGGTGGCTTCCTTCGTCCCCTGCCGGTTGCTCCGAGCTCGTGGTGCAATTTGCTGACGGCGTGCTTCCTTTCTTCCGTCACGTCTTCGCACCAACTCTGTTGCTGACCGCAGTATCGTGAACATGTCACAATGGCGAATTTCCCGAAAGGCCATGAGTGCTGGAGCCAGATCTCGTATGGGCATTCCCTACGGATCTCCAGGGGCCGCGAGATAGCGAACTTGCCACCGGGCGAGCCGTGTATCGCGACAACGTCACGGCTCTTCACGGAATAGAATTCTGGGGCTCCTGAGGAAGGTCAGCCAATAGCTACCGCAGGTGGATGCCGACTACACGAGGATCCTCCGCGATTGTGCTGGACTTCCGGGAAGTCTCAAAGCTATGATTGGGTCTTCCTCGAAACGAGAGGGAAGAGGGAATCGTACATTGCTCGGAGAGGCTCGGATTCAAGGCCCACATTTCCCCCGTCAGTCGATGGCTTCGGAAACTTGCATCGGGATATCCATGTGAATAATTTCTTTCTCCATGAAGAAGTCAAATTAGAAACTCTGGGAAACGAAGGGCTTGCGGGCTCCGAAGACTCATCCGAAACTCGGGGGCTGGAAGCGTGACTCAGATTTTCATTTCTTATCTAGTCGATAACGAGTTTTACCCTCGCTCACTACACTGTCTCCATGCGGTCCCGAAGCGAGAAGCAGAATAAAACACCAGGTAAGTGCAGCTCACGTCAAATCGGAGAACAAAATCTTTCTCTCGTCAGCCACGGCCGTCAAGCCGACCCGAGCCGCAAAATAAGTCTTAGGTGGCCGTCGAACTCTCTAAAAATGCTCCGAATGTTTCCTGCACCCCGCTCACGTACTTTCATTGCTGCTCCGAGCGGACTCTGAAATGTCGCTCCCCTCATTGATCTGCTTGCCCTCGCTGGTCTCTTGTTCTCTCGGTAGGGAGTTCGGCTGCTCGCGTCCCCTTCTATCGGAAATCAATCCACTCCTCCTCCTCCTTTTTTCGTCTGATTAGCTCGCGATGTCAACTGAGCGGATAAAAACCGCCGCAATCACAAAAGCGGTACAACATGAGCTATTTGTTCGGCTCTTTTCGATGTTCCGGGAACGATGTCGGCTCCGACAAAGTGTTTCTCCCTCCATCCACTGGAGATACGATCGAGAGTATCGAGTCAAAATCTCGCCCCAGAATAACATCGAGGAACTTTTCACTCGGTGAAGGACCGTCCTCATCCGACGAACGACACACTCGTCCGCCTCAGCGTCCTGCATGATTACAGAAGCAGTTTCACAGGTGATGGCGAACTCCGAGGAGACCACAGCGTTCAACCTGGACTCTCTCTCGACTAGAAGTCGACGGGAGCTTCTCGACGACGTTGCGTGTCGATTTCGTAGGCTCAATGATTGCATATCAATTTCGCTCATTCTCAGCGCACGGCCATCAAACGTATAATGTTAGCTTCCAGAGAAAAATCCATTCCCTCGTAGGTCGATGGATCAGGACGAAGTCTCCCTCAAGGTATGCAGAGCAGTGGCGGATCTACCCAGAAGGCTTGGTAGGCTATAGACTGGGGCGGTAAATTTCAGAGCCAGAGGCTTCCTGATGACGCCGACGGGTCGCCCATCGCTGCGAGCAATAACCATCATGGGTCTGTAGACCTCAGTGTATATGGGCTCATGACGCTCTGCTCGCCGAGACTAGCCAATTGGAGGTGAAATCCGGAGCCGATTTGCGGAGGGAAAGATTTTTCCCCTGAGGGAAAGATCGGCTCATCCGCGTGCTGTATTCTTTCGATTTGCCTCGGAAGTTGTGGAACAGAGTTCAAGATTTTCTTCTGTCCCGCTTCGTCTTTTTACTATTCGACTGCGAATCGCTTCTGCGGCAGTAGAATTATTCTGAGCAGAGCAGTCGGAAGTGATTTGGATGAATGTTTATTAACAAGTGAGCATCAACGTCAGGTGTCGAGATGGAATCTACCAGGCACGGCCGTAGGCGATGGGGGCGGCTCCGTAGGCGATGGGGGCTTTGGCGAGGAGGGGAGCCTGAGCGTAAGCGACGGGAGCGGCAACAGCCACGGGGGCCTTGGCGATCACGGGAGCGGCATAGGCGCGGCTCTCATAACGGACAGAGGTGGCGATCGGGGCCTTGGCGATGACGGGGGCGGCGAGAACCGGGGCCTTGGCGATAACGGGGGCAGCGGCGTAAGCGGGAGCCGCGTAGGCAACCGGGGCGGCAGCGTAAGCGGGAGCCGCGGCGTATCCTCCGTAGAGGCCACCAGCCTGAGCGGCAGCGACGAGAGCGAGAACGAAGAGAGCGAGCATTGTTGCTTGCTGTTATTTGTTCGTTGTTGAACCGTGGTACGGCGAAGTTCGACCCTGTTTTTATAGAAGATCTCGGGTAGAGAGGGTTTCGCGAAGACTTTTCTTTCCAGAAGTCTGCTCAACAGAGCGAACCGCGAAAGGCTTATTCTGTGACAATCGCATACGCCGCGTCGCCCACCGCCACGTGGCGTCGGCCGCTTAGCTTCCTAATTGAGCGAGAATCGCCGCAACTAATGAGCGGAATTAATTACTCCGACGGAAAACAAGCTCGTTCCTCGAGTTGCACGGCTGTTCGGAATCCCGCGCGTCGAGTTTCTCCCGGAACAGAAATTCGGAGCCTACTTCCGGAATCCGAGGAGACGACTGAGAGAGCTCACCGGAGTCGCCGAGTATCTCCTTTGACTGAGAGGCGATTCCCGGCCACGTGGATTCGAGTGCTGTCTCAATCCGATCGATGCGTGGATGGGATTCTGAGTGATCGATGGCTCCCCGTTCACTATCCGTACCACAGCCTCGCGGCGGGCTTTGGGATGACGTTTGAGATGATGAATCTATTCGTTGAGCAATTGATCAGTTGTCGGAGTCTCCACTCCGGGACAACGGTCGTTGGGGCTTCAGTCTCTGGAACTATGAAGGAAAATCATCCTGTATTCGAGAGTGGGATGGAGAGTATTATATGTAGATGCAAGACCAGACCCCCCCCCTCCTGCCACAACTTCCGGAAACGTTCCTCTCGCGCTGGATAAGTACTGCTGGGTTCTCGAAAAGTCTCGACCTAGATTCCACCTTGTGGTGCTCGCCATTTGATGACCTCCTCATCCGGTCCCCTGCTGACCTTGCAGTAAAACGGCAGAGCGGCTCGCTCCTTGTAGAATCACCGACGAGCCTTAGACACCAGAGTCATTCGTGGACCGCGGATTTCCAGATCAAGTTTTCGACCCGAAAGTGGGAATCGGAGATCTGAGGGCTTTGAGAAATGCAAAAGCTCGTGTCGTTGACGTATCTGCGGAGAGGAGAGAACCGCGGAGTGGTCAAATGCTCCAGCTTTTCATCTTGAGAATCATGCTTGCTCTGGATGATTCCGGGGGCTACCGTGGCCTTCTTTTCCGTCACCTCTGCACACATCGTCAAAAGACCCCATGGTAAGCAGAGTCTGAAAACGGGGAACGCGAGCTATAACTAATGGCGCTGCCTAAATAGTCGACCTAATAAAGTGAGCGACGAGACAAGCAGAATGTCACATTCGGAGAACGAGAGCGAAGTTAATACGTGAGATGGGTCGCGTTTTCAGCATGCGCAAAAGGACGATCGTATTCGCGCTAATGCACATCATGAGCCACGGAACTCCAAGGCTTGGGGATACAAAGACACTGAGCCCGGGCCAACAGGAAGAGCCCACTGGAGGCTGGAAGATTGACGGGACGAGATCCGCCAAAAAGGGCGCTCTTGGTCGCATTTTCTGACAGCAGGCCGAAATTAATGTTTGCCGCATGAAACGAGATTAAGATGGAGCTCTCCTTCTCCTAAAAGCGAGGAATCATAATCCACCGAAAATTCAGTTATCGCTGTAAATTTATTTCATGCGATTCATTGTCTCACTGGGTACTATTATATTTAAGGCATTGACAGCGTGTAGATCATTCAGGAACAATTTCGCCAGAATATCAGCGGGGAAGTTCGAATATCCTGGGTCGATTGTCGAATCGATTGCTGAATCCGAGGGGACTCATGCTCCATATCATTTCGACTCAGGGATACCGCACGGTTGGAACCTCGGGGGACAGGGAGTCTATCGAGGTGACTGGCGACATCTCATACCCTCCATGACCTTCCAACAGTCGCTCTTTAGGCCATGATTCCCTGTGGCAAAGACGGTGAGAGGTTCCGCAGGCGAGGGTCAAAGGGAGCTCTGACTGAATGAGGGTTCCCGTCGAAGTTGCGTGTTCAAATAGAGCTCACGAGTATACTCACCGAGGGAGGGAGAAAAAGTGTGACTGAATACCGCAATGGTGGAGGCGACTTCCGGAACAAACTCCGAAGTCGAGCTTCAACAATCAGCGTCGCTCCAGCTCAGCTCCTGGAGCCGGGAGTAATTAGCAGGGACAGGTTCGCTTTCCCTCATGCACACTTCGGAATTTCCACGCTTCCAGCATCTGTCGGTGCAGCAAGAGCGGCGAAGGAGTCCAACTCATTCCGCAGGATGAGCCAACAGCAATTAGAAGCGAAGCCGCGCGGGGAAATGTAACGCGGAATTTCCTTCGGTATATGTAGCCTCGCGACCATGTAGAAATGGGGAAGTGATGTGGCACGTGTCTCCGATCCGCCTGGCGGTGTCATGCTCACACATTTTCCTGATTCCGTAGAATTCTGCTCTGATGCCCGACAGCAAGCTCAACCGAACGAGGACGGCATGGGTTCCTCAGTTGAGAGGCATCCCTACCTTTCGACCTCCTAAGGTTCCAGGTTTCCCCTTTTAGTTTCATGGCGGACCAGACGACGGATCGTCGATTTTTTCATTTCCCTCGCAATCGGATGCGATCACAGATGGAAGCAGCCCAAGAGCTACCGATGGATAGGCTCTGGTAGGGATCGCTGAAGGGGGGTTGCTGGGAGGAATAGCTGCTGCCGTGAAAACCGCAGGAAACTCAAAGCTCTTCGCCATCGTTTCAGAGAACCGGTTCCCGGCCCTCGACTCCGAATCCACCGGAAACCCCAATTGGGACGTTGTGAAATCGATCCTTATACTCCAGGGCTCCTGCGCGCCACTCGAAAGGCAGAACTTTGAAAGGCAGCGGGCGGAACATATCTGGGTCTCGCTCGTCAAGAACTTCTTGAGAACTCAAAGATAACAGCTCACATAGATGCAACAAGCTGCATCCGCCGTTGGAGTTTGACTTCGACTGCTTTTCCATCTTGAACGAGCCGCTGCGACCTGAAGCTTGCACCAGACTCGGAGTGCCCTCTGATGTCTCTCAGGGAGAACATACCATTCGATGAAGTCCCTTTGAGCGCCCCGATTTCAATCCACCCTCGTAGGTCACAGGAGCTCCTATAGGCTTCGAACGGGACGCATTAGACTAGGCTCGGTAATCGAGGCTCCAGGAAGTTTCTCGAGACACTCGAACGCGCTCGCTATTGGACCGGGAATATCAGACGCGTTCCTCAGAGCACCACGAACCCGTCGTAGGAGGCCAGCGAGAACCACCCACAGACAATCGAATTTTCAATCTCATCCGCTCGATATCTCGGCGGCGCGGCGCCGTTTCGAGAGTCCGGGCTTGGCCTCCGCAAAGAATATCAATCAGGAGCAGGAGACGATGATTTAAATATTAAGGCGGTCGAATTTATTCACAAATTTACAATTTCCAGCGCTGAATTACCAGGCGGCTCCGTAGGCGACGGGGGCAGCTCCGTAGGCGATGGGAGCCTTGGCGACGAGGGGAGCGTGAGCGTAGGCGACGGGAGCCTTGGCGACGAGAGGAGCGTGAGCGTAGGCGACGGGAGCGGCAACAGCGATGGGAGCCTTGGCGATCACGGGGGCAGCGTAGGCACGGCTCTCGTAACGAACAGAGGTGGCGATCGGAGCCTTAGCGACCACGGGGGCAGCGAAGACGGGAGCTTTCGCGATGACGGGGGCGGCAGCGTAAGCGGGAGCTGCATATGCGACCGGGGCGGCGGCGTAGGCGGGGGCGGCGTATCCTCCGTAGAGGTTTCCAGCCTGGGCGGCAGCGGCGAGAGCGATGACGAAGAAGGCGATCATTGTTGCTTGCTGTTTCTGTTTCGGAAACTGTGATTCCTGCTGTGCATTTGGTCGTTTATATTGCAGAGGAACAGAAAGAGAAACAATGAGAGGGGAACACCCGCCTGTATGCCGTATACCGAGCGAAAATTCTGCCGAAACACTGGGTCGATTACGCAACGAATGAAATAGAGGCGGTCATCTTTTCTGTGAGAGTCAAGTGTACGTCCACGGATGGAACCGTGCGTCCCGTGATGGATTCGCCTCTCGCCACAGTTCGTCGGGACATTTGATGGCCGGCAACGGGGGCCCTCGACAAGCCATCGCCTCCGGGGATTCGGAGTCGCAGTTTTCCATTGTTTCCCGTCTCGCATCCACACACTCCTCGGGGCATAGCCTCACTCCGCTGAGAGATGACCCGAGAGCTCATGCATATGCACTATTGCATATGCATGGAATCCTGTATTCGATGATTGTAGCGAGAGAAAATTCAGAGCTTATGTAGAATGCTCTATTATTCAACTTCTCACTTCATGCATCGAATCGCAGAACCCGGTGGAAAAATTCAGCATTCTGTTGGGGTTCTTGAGGTCAGCTTCAAACTTTGAACGCAAACCGAGAATGCTCCCGAAGTTTCCCAGCTGCTCGGGCGAATGCTCGGTTTCTTGTCTCGGACCGTGTCCGGCCTCATCCTCAGAGGCAGAGGGCCGGAAGTCGAGCGACCCGATGGAATATTCCGAGACGATCCTGCCGGCGATGCCAACCCGTCCCGTTTCATCATCATAAACCAACCCGATTAGGAGCTGTCCCGACTCGTTCTCGGTCAAGGAAGACGGTTGGAATGAAATTCTGCCTCATTTCAAAAGGCCTTACTTCTACTGACTGAGTCCGCAACAATCGCGCTTGAAGACCGCGTATACGTGCTTGACGAACCAGCGGTAGGCTCCGAGGAGTTGACTCTAGATGTTCGAGTCCGGGAATACGGGAAAAGCTCAAGTGCAGCATGTGATGCTCTTCAAATCATTTTTTTAAGGAATCCACAGAAAGTCTGACTAAGTCAGACAGGCTCCGGGACGGAATCTCTCGCGTCAGCTAGCCTGGTCGACGGTCGTTCCGTGCCGAATCGGGAGAATGGATTCGAATTTCCAAATATCGGGTCAACAGAGCGCTCCGAGCGTTTTCTGCGCTCCGCTCACCTTTTTCCGGAGCTACTTTGAGTCGGCATTGAGATGTCGTCATTCACTTCGCTGGCGATTGCTTGTCTCTCGTTCATCGCTCGCGGAGGGAACGGCTCGCTCGCCTGCTTCCATCGAAAATCAATCTATCTTTGCTCGTCTGTCCGACTAGTTCGCGATGCCAACTAAGCGAATGAGAAGTGTTGCGATCACAGAAAAGCTAGAGCTCAAGCCATCGGCTCAGGTCTTCCCGCAGCTTCGCGAGCGATGAAGACCTCGCGGAGACGGTGCCATTTGGATTGAGCGAAGGCAAAGAGCATAAGTTAATCTAAGCGCAAGCACATCTGAGCAAGAGTTCAACTCAGCACAGCGAAAATTTGAGCAGACAGAAGCTCCAGCCCTGAGCTAACCGAAGCGCAGCTTCAGCGTTATGGAACTCAATATGCGCTCGGCGGAACTTGTGCACGAAAACAAATGCGCACAAATTCACAGTGCCCCCAAGTTTACATGGCGCTCAGATCTGGGCAGCGCCCGAACCAACTTCGCCCTCACGCTGCGCTGAGACAAAATTGCGCTCAAATGTCGTAAAACCCTCCAGGACGGATTTCTCTCAATATCCCAAGATTATCTAATCCCCAATCGGGGATGGATGAGAAAATGCTAATATTCGGTTGGACCATCGAGTTTTTACCAAGGCGTTCGACGCACTGAACGAGGGTTTGGATCTACGGCAGGCTCCAGAGAAGAATCTGATCCCAGATGGGTGAAAACTGGTGTGGAGAGGAACCTGTCAAGAATTATCCCCAATCAGAGAAGACATATAAGCGGCGATCTGGTGATTTGCGCGAGTCATTACTCACCATACATGGGAGAGGATCGGAATGCCGGGAAAGAAGTCTCATACCTGAGAGGTTCCCCACTTCCAGATGTGGATGTGTCGGGGTTCGCCTCGGGGTTGCTCTGATCTGCCCGGGGATTACTTGAAGGAGATCGGAACCAGGGTCCGCGGACTCGATGATCGGCTGCACAGAGGTTCCCGAACTTGCGGAAAATTGAGCGAGAGCAGCCGGCACAGCTGTACGTTCGGTTATGGTTGGCCTTGCGCCAGTTCACTGTGATTGCAGACTCCAGACGTGGAATTCTGAAGCACACGAAAATAATTGAACGCTACAGAAGTCAGCGCGTTGTTGACGACGATGCGAATAAATGACAGCATTAAATTATGACTGTGTTCGTTTACTTTCTAATTTCGTTCATCCCTCATGCTGGTCGGTCCGAGCTTCCGCAATCTTCATCGGACCCGTCCGGCCCGGTTACCCAACACCAGAAGATGGTGTTCACGCGCAATTTCTAATTTTCTCTACAATTACCCGGGCACCGGTGTCTTGCAGAATTTCTCCATTCTCCGTCACGTCGGAAGAAAGACTGTTTCGCAAGTGTCTCGGTCGCGCTAAATCTCAACCGCAGGGTATCGTCTCGAGAGAAGCCGGGCACCCGGAGCGGAACAGAAGAGAATGTCCAGGCCGGTGCAGTATATGCATGCGGACTTCGACCAGTCTTTGACGGATACAGAAATACAGGATAACTTCACTTCGCGAGATGTTCATACGAGGAAGTCCTTCCTCCCGATCCAGAAAGGCGGGAGCTCAGAGCAAAGTCGGCGCATCGAATTGGAGAACGGAATTATCTGTTGGTCACTGTTGAAATGGACGATGAGAATGCAAAACCGAATGGTGATTTGTGTGACCTTCCGGCTGTACACGGTACCCGAGCGCGTGCAGCCTCTTGAGCCGCATCCCATCTGAATATTCGTGGGTTGTCCGTTCTATCCTTTTCTCGACGAGACCGAACATCTTTATATTTTTCGAGACGAGGGTCCTGAAGAGCTTCGATCTTTATGGCTATGGGAGCTTTGGAATCATTGAACATGGAGATATCGCAGGTCCCCAGGGCTCAGGATGAATAAAGTCCTCCGGGAACAGTTGAGTGATCACTCCATCTCGATTGGACTGGCGATTCCGTCGATCGAGACCGCCCTGAGAAGGACCGAGAATAAAGCTCTGGCACACCGAGCTGAGAAGGAGCGTAGTATCTCGGTCTCCGTAGGATTTTCAATTTCTGGGTTTTGGTTGCCATTCAGCTCAGATGATCGGTTGTCTTGTCGAATGGGTGTTCACGGAACAAACACTTGAATGTTTTGTTTTCTGTCCAGAATTTGCCGCACGAGTAACTAATTCGCGTGAAATGTTCAAGGAAGTCTCTGCAACGATTGATGATGCAACGCGCGCTAAGAATTGCCATCAAAAAATATTTCTATTTGAATAGCTGTACGCCAGACGACGAAAGCATTGAATGACCTCGAATGATACAGTTCCTCGTTGCTGAAGTGGAACCGGACGCTCGCAGATGACCGACGAGCCTATCAAAGTACCTCAGGCGGATCAGATTCAGGTGGTTCCGCTGATCAGGAGCCTACCCTGGTTGCCATCTTGACGGGCGCACAGGTCCCTTGGAACTCGGAAGTCGAAGTCCCCAGGCTTTGATCAAGCTCCTGCATGCCGACTGACGGATCCGAGCGTAGGATGCGTCGTCTGTGAGTTTCAAGAGGTCTGCCTTTCGACGGATGCACTTGGAGCGAAAGTCGCTGTCACCCCGAGCTTGATATGATATTCGCTCTTAGCGTCTGGTGTCGGTGTCACAAGAGCCTTGGTTTGTCTTCAGAGTTTCAGCGTGAGTCACGCTCATGGAGCCACAGAACTTTCCATCACGGTGCTTCGCCATGAGAGACTTGTCTGTTCATCAGATTCCAGACGTCTGGAGTATGAGGAATGGCTCCGACTGCGACTCGCCCTGTCCGTTTGATAGAGCCACAACGAATCCGAGTTCGATAGAAATCCTGATCAACACTTTTCCGAATAATTTTATCATCCAGCAATTTGCTGGACACGTCGAAACTGCCGAGGGTTAGCTTAACATGGATTGCCCCGAGACTGTCCTGAAGAAAGCGCGGCGGAATCATCGCGGAGAAATATCTGTGCAGCATCGGCTTACGAATTCAATCTACCTCTGATTCTGCGGCTAGGAATTTATGCGCAGATCTTTTGCTTAAGGGTTTCATTTGACCAGAAATTTGATCGTCTTAGCATAGTCGCTTCGGGCGGACCGTGTAGCGTGTTTATCTCTCGATCGACACTGAACCCGTATTATTGCTCAGGACTCGGGTGAAATTCTGATCTGCAGTCGTAGAATCAGAGCGGTGTATATACTCGGGAGCTTCTCGGAATTTGAGTATCCTAATTGGAGCGATCGCGAGCAGCCCATACGGGGCTGCCCCGGACGGTGTATGAGTCTATTGGCACATACATGCTATCCCCTATATAATAAAAGCGCTATGTCTGCCTGACACCGGACCACTTTTTAGAGCTCTCCACCTCCGAACAGACCCCAAATTTTCCCGATCGATGCGCAATCACTCCAGTGAGGTCGAGATATACTTATCTAACTGGACCTTGAATTGGACTGAACTGGACCTGGAATTAGCTTGTGTGTTTTCCGTGTTACCTAAGGTGTTTCTCCAGTAATCGTTATTTTTCACAAAATGTAGAGCCGCTTCACTATGATGTCATCGTCACACTCATTTCAAGGAAACTCTCGATGATGATAAGTGAAGGAAACTTCGAAGGGACCCCAAATTTTCCCGATCGATGCGCAATCACTCCAGTGAGGTCGAGATATACTTCTCAACCTGCTTATATGCATGTTTTCCGTGGAATTCACGTATTTGTGCAGTAATCGTTATCTTTCACAAAATGCAAAGCCGCTTCGATGATGTCATCAGTACTCATC